CTTTATGTTTGTTCTTTATGTCCCCGCATAGCTCGTTGTTCTTCATGTCCCCCAGGTCTTTTGTCATTAGTGTTCAGTGAGTCAAATCTATTCTCTATTAAAAAGTTATTATTATTTTTGATCAAATCTATTCTTAAGAGGTTCTTGTAATTCAGGTGGGGTATCCTCAAGGTCATGTTTTGGCTCTCATCAACTAGTTTACATTTTCTTCAACTTCACCCTGAATTACGAATGAGCACATGATGTTCCACAGTCAACCCTGTCCTCATTTTGGTTGCTGATAATTGAGCTTCTCCATCATCTCTTCCCCTAGATGCAGTCAATTTGATTCCTGTGTATCCCACCCGAAGAAACCCTATCGTGCGATCTCCAGCTTCCTTGCTGTTATCAGGGCCGTATTTTCCATCTGCTGTCCCTTCTTTTGGTTTCCGCCTTTTCAGTCCCAGTCACCAATAATCGTCACTGCATCTCGATTGCACAATTAATCCATTTCAGACCGAAGAACTTGGTAGAATTCTTGTATTTCTTCATTACTAGGTGTGGAAGTTGGTGCATACGTTTTAGTAATAGTTGCATTAACTGGATTTCCTTGGATGCATGTAGATGCTGTACTGTCACAGACAGCATAGCTAGATCTTGAAATGTTCTCTTTGGTGACGCATGTGATGCCATCTCTTGAAGCTCTCGTTCCTGGCATAACCAGTTCACGAATGCCTAGGATAGTGTTTTTTATGTGTTCCATTTGACTTTGATGACTTACAATTTTTCTAGAGTCATACTTGGTACATTCCAAGTTCTGATGATGATGTTTACAGTGGTTTCTCCTCCTTTTGTGTCATGTTCCACCAGCAAATGAAAGCCCTGGAAGCTTCAGACTCTATGAAGGTCATGATTGTCAGCTCCACTTTGAGAGAGAGTAGCTCGTCTTCAGTCGTACTTCGAGCGACTCCACTTCGAGCGACTCCAACGGGAGGGACTTGACTTCCAGCACTGCATCAGATAACGTTCCACTGCTATTCATAAGGTTTTTAATGGTGAATACCTCAGAAATGGGCCACCTGTACCTTCTCCGTAGTCTGTCCTTAGCCAGGAAGTGCCTCTGAAACCTGTTACCCTTGGGTGACCCTGCTGGTAGTTGAAATACCAGAGATAATTTCCAGCATCACAGCAACACACAGACCATCATAGTAAGACAAACAGACAAGTGGCGAGTCACGGCTCTAGCAGCTGTAAAAAAAGTGTAAATATGATCATTTTATGCACTTCCCCAAACCCTGACCTGTTTTCCCTTTGCATTTAGAACTAAATCCAAACGTTACCAAGGCTTGTACATACAAATACATACCCCACAGGGTTTTCTCTGTCCCTACAGTCTGATCACTCGGCTGTCCCTCCTTGAATATGTTGGGACGGTTCTTGGTACCTGGAGCGAACTGCCTCCAATCTTTGCATGGTTGCCCTTACCCTTCAGATACTGGTCCTATACATTACAGCCGTCTAGTGGTTATGCATTGGGCTGCTGACTGCAAGGTCAGCAGTTCAAAACTAATAGCCACTCTGAGAGAGAAAAGGTTTTCTAGTCCTATCCGGAGTTGTAGTTTCAGAGACCCACAGGGCAGTCCTATTGGGTTACTGTGAGTTGTAATCAACTCGATGGCTGTGGGTTTTTGAGTTTTAGAACAACTGAATACAGAAAAGCTCCTCAGTTGCTATCATCTTGTTTTATTTCCTCCTTGGCACATATTACTACCTGACATTTCCATGTTTGTCTGTTATAGTATATGCTCTTTAGGACCCAAATCTAATCTGTTCTATATGTTGTCATTCTATACCTGGGAACGATGTGCGGCACATAGTAGGTGCTTAGTATTTTGCTGGATGGATGAATGGACATCCCCAAAGTAAAATAAATGAGGACTACCCAAATGGAACCAGTTGCTTTGGGAGGTCAGAGATGCCTGTCTTTGGCATCGCACAGGATATTTATGGAGGAGTCTTTTGGAAAGCCAAAAGTGTTGGCTTTTTTTGTGCTCCGACACTTCCAAGGAACACGACAGGCCCCCTTGAGTAGCACAGACTTTGTGACTGCACATACTTCTGTGGTCCCATAAGGTTCCCCACCCCCTCTTAAAAGGAAAGCGCTCATTCTGTTTAGGAGCGCCTCCTAATTGTTTTAAAGACCCCAGGCCGACTCTTGAAGCACTGCGCCACAGGTGAGCTCTAGGTAGGTAATGTGGCAGTGGGCTCGTCTCTCTGCCCAGCAGGCAGGTGGCAGTGGGGATTGGGGAGGTGGTGTGGGTGTGCCCCACTTCCGTTTGCTCTGCCACCGCCCCCTCTGGAGCCCTCCAGCGTCGGCTGGGCAGGAGCAGCAGTAGTGGAGGCAGTGGCTGCGCTTGCCACGAGGTGGGTTGGACAACTCCCAGAAAGCTTTAATGTGGCGTTTGTGCAACATCCAAATCACAGTGTCTTTCACAGGCCGTTCAGGTGGCCACCCTCCAGCCCCACCCCCCTTTAGGTCGTTTATATACCAAAGGGTGTGTTGGTGTTTATGAGTTTTCAGCCCTTCTTATCTCTGTGGGTTCTGGTTTCTTATGCTGTCACTGCGTTAGATGACTGTGAGCATGCTCCTGATACTCCTCCTTTCCATCTTCATGCTGAGCTTGTCTTGGTGTGATAAGGAAGAATGTCCCCCTTTGTTTCTGAAACACTGCTTTTCATCAGCTCCACCCTAATAACCAGTGTTTGTAGTTCGCTCTTTATTTCCCCAGCTTCTTCCTAGACTCCTACCCAAATGACAAAATAATGATATGTCTCTTTAGAAACAAACATGGGACGGGTTTTTTCCTTTCACTTAATTTTCTTGGAGAGCGTTATCTTCAGGGTGTAGCGATGTATTTCATTTGTTAAAGTGACGGTGGCATTTCAGAGTTGTAATTTGTATAACTAATCCTCTTGATAACATTTGGACTGACTTTAGAGGTTGTCCGCCAACTTTGTATGCATGCTGATAGAATTTCTTTGTTTTATAGCTCAGATTCCTTAACCAAAAGGTGAAAACCACGTAAAATGTTAATAGATGTTGCTAGCTGTTCTCCCAAACAGATGTGCCAGTCTGCTTTCTCCACAGCAGGATTTTAATTGGTTGCCTTAGCTTTAGTCAGTGTCCTTCAAATTTTCAAGGGTTTGGGTACCTAAAGATCAGCGGTGCCTCACCATGTTTACATGTTTAAGCATAGGGAAAACTGTTGCCATGGTGACGGGAGTACTAGTCCAGGCCTTTTCCGACCTTTGGGTTAGATCTCCGTTTGCAGCCTGTTCTTGGTTAATGATGGGGAGTGGATACTTGCCTGAAGCAAATTTGGGCTCTCTTAAAGTAGTATGATAATTTATCACAGACATAGGATATTTTGGCAAAGGTACTTCTGGAACTTCCTTTTCATGTCCAGTCGTGACTTGCTAATTTCTCAGTTGGACTCTTCGGGGTACAGGACGTGGCAGTTGAGAGGTCTCTGTCAAAAGAGTGATACAGTTATATTTATAGTCTCTGCTATTCGTTATTATACATGTATCCTGTTAGAAAATAATTCACATTTTTATAACGTCCTGTTATTCAACTTAGCTCCTTTGTTACAGCCTCAACTACAGACCCATCTAGAGATACTTAGACATTTAGAACAGGAGATCAGAGAGTTCTGAAGGGTTTGTGGTTGTATTTATTATACATACACACCCCACAACTTGGTGGATTTTTAAATTTACCTGCTGTCTTCCACCCACACGAGTCCTGGTAGCATAGTGGTTATGAATTGGGCTCTGATGCACACAGTTGGCAGTTCGAAACCACTAGCAGCTCTGTGGGAGAGACCGGGCTTTATACTCCCAGAGAAGTTACAGTCTTGGTGACATAGGGTGTCACTATGAGTCAGCATTGACTCTGGCAGTGAGTGAGTGTCTTCCACCCAGCGGAAGATAGAGAATGTTCGCCTCAGAAGCCCCTCCCTTTCCCTCCCAGCTACTTGCTACTCTTCCCTCAGTGAAAGATAAGCCCACGGCCCTGACTTCTGTTACCATAGATTGGCTGTGCCTGGTTTTAAGTTGGTTATCAGTGGAATCACATGGCGCATACTTTTTAACATCTGGCTGGTGTTGTTCAGCATTGAATTTATGAAATTCTCCCTTGTGGTGTATCATCGAAATGCTTAGTTTTTCATTCCTGTGTATGCCTATAACCCAATTTAGACAAGATTGGGTGCGTTCAGGGTGGGGTGGCCATAGCCAGTAGCTCACTTTAGTTATCTGCTAGTTAGGGGTTGGGAGAAGATGGGCTTCTATTCCCATAAACAGTTACAGTCCCAGAGACCCACAGGGGCCGTTGAGTCAGCATCGACTCGATGGCAGCGAGTCTGATGTTTTCTTTTTAAGTCGGGGATTGAATTGTGTCCCCCCCCCCCCCCCCCCATGTGTTATGAATCGTAATCGCGATTCCTTCACCTGTGGTTATAATCCCTTTGGGAATGGGTCTTCTGTTAATCAGGCAGTGTTAGTGCAGGGTGCTTCGTCACTCAGTGTTCTTTGAGAGACTACAGAGCAGAGTAAGCAAGGATCTAGTAAGTAAAAATGGGAGATAAATGCTAAGTTAAATGCTTGCCAAGGAATAGAAGCCGAGAAGAAGTGAGGACATGCCCCCCAGGTGACTCAGAAAGCCTCCCTGAGAGACTGGACCCTGCATTTGGACTTCCAGCCTCAGCGGTGAGAAAAGAAGCCTTTGTCACCTCCTCCCACTGTAGTGTTGGTGTTACTGTGGCGCTAGGTAACGAAGACATCGTTCCGGTGTTGATTGGCATGTGGACTCTTTCCTCTTTGGGACTGTCCAGAGTCAGCTTGCTGAGAACGTTCCTGCACATGCCTTTCATCGGGTCATAAGGCATGGGACGTTCATTAACAGATACATTTAATTCATACTTCCGGGTCATCATTTTTGCATTTTGCTTCATTTTCAGTGTGTCTGAGAATACAGATCAACCCACAGAACAAAGCGGATTTCCAGGGCATCTCCCCGGAGCGAGCCTTCGCTGACTTTCTCTTTGCCAGCACCATCTTGCACCTTGTTGTGATGAATTTCGTTGGCTGAAATGGTCCCGTATACTTGGTGAGGAGCAGGAGACAAGAAGAATGTAAGTGGTGACCACAATCCTTGTCCCATACTGTTGATGTGTGCAGAGAGACCGGAGGGGCTGGTCTTGGTCAGGTCGCCAGCACGCTCAGATTGCTGAGAAGATGCTGCAGGCTTTCCCAGGGGTCTGCGATGTGCATTAATAGCATCATGATTCATCTGTGCCGCTGCGCTTGTTCACTGCTTTTCTGCTCACTTCCCTGTAAATCATTAAGATAACAGGAAATGAGTGCTTGCCTCCAGCTCATCTATTAATTTCTGCACCAGTAACTCCATGAAAACAATCAAGAGATGTTGGATGAAAAATAACTAGACTTTTCCTGTAGATTGGCTCTGTAGTATTTTCTGATTTGGAACTCAGGTGACTTTAAGTACTGGGCTGTTGTCCCCATAGTGTCCTGCCTCGTGCTCGCACCGCGAGGCCTTTCACATGCTGGATGAATGACCGTGGTCATTTGCTAATAAGCCTCCTAAAGTAGAAGCAAATAGGAAAATGGGGTCTATCGTGGGCGCAGGCTTTCAAATAAAGAGGGAGATGCCATTTGGAACAATGTTTCTCAAACTTTCCTCCCTTTTCCACGACAGAGTTCTTTCCCTCCAAATGAATCTTACCTAGAATTTCACTTTATAAAACAGATAGAGGTGGAGCTGGTTTTGGACTGACGAGTTTCCAAGCCTCCCCTGCTTGGTTTCCTCTTCACGGGTGGTACACCCTCCCCTCCATTTCTCCTACCCTCAACCCCTAGGAGCCTGTGAAGAGCTTTTGTAGAATGTATAAAATACAAGTGAAAATGTTGCATGGTTGAGTCATGCTGAAGAGCTAAAGATGGTCACGAAGTGCTGTGGAGTCTTGAGGAGGGAGCCACTGCGTCCCATCTGGTGCCGGGACACAAGGGTAGCAGACAAGGCCTGGGTGGAGACTCCTGAGTGCAGCTAGGAAAGGGCCTGCTGACACTGACCTTCTCTTCATGCCTTGGACTCTGATAGTAACCCTGCTGAGAGGTCCTAAGGCTTCTTTCTGGTGGCCGTCTTTCCCCTCATTAGTCATGGTGTGCGCTTAGGGAGAAGACAGGACAGACCTTTCAAGGCATTTTTCTAGACACAGAGATACCACACCCTGTAGAATTATGTCCTAGGGCTGTCTTGATGTGAGGAGGAATCTGCTGCGGAGAGCTTGAGTATTTCAAAATTATGACAGATTAAAAAGTAGGCTCAGCAGGAACTGTGTGCTGCAGATGATATTAACAGCCTAGGGCCACCTGTTTAGTTGGGAATTTGGGGCCCAGAGTATAGGGAGATCTCCTAGTCTGAGATTGCAGTGTGCAGTCATTCTATAGAGAGCATGTTCATAGAAAACACATTCTCTGGGGGGGGGGGGGGGGCGCACCAGGGAGTTTTTCACCGAGGTCACGCGTCTGACATACATCCCTGTGCCCCACTCTCAGTTCTGAAGCCCGTGTTTATTTGTCCTTATTGTGTGTTTCTAACTTGGCTCCATGTTCTGTGTACTGAGACACTTCAAATGCTTTCCAAGTGTGTTCTCAGTATTTATCCCAACTCAGAAGGTGGCGAAACACAGATCGAACATTATCCCTACTTGCCAAATAAGTGAGAGTTGGGTATAAAAGAAAAAAGCATCTGTAGTGTTCTGGTTTTGCCTAAATTAGGAGTGACATTTAAACTGAATAGCTGTTCTGGAGAAGGCAGATGACAAGAAAGTGGCATTGAGTTGAGGACCTCAATCTGTGCCCGGCAGTGGGCACATGCAGGTCGAGAGTGCTCATTGCTCCCAAGTCTGCAGTGTTCATGCTCATCACCTCAGGGTTGGCGAGTCTTGCTTTGTAGATGAAGATCTGAGGTTCAGGGAGTCCTGCCAGAATTTGAAAATCACTGTCTGTAATCTAGCCTGACTTCAGAAACCAGTTATCCATACCTATGTGTGCTCACGGTAGTTCACTGACGATATGAAACAGCACCAAACCCACTGCACTGCGTCGTCGATTCCAGCCCATACGACCTGATAGGACCGAGGAGCACGGGTCCTCCCTATGGGAGCAGACAGCTGGACCTCCTGTGGGGTGGGAGGCCGCTTCCAACCACTGACCTGTCCCTTGGCAGCTGAGTGCTTAACCACTGCGTCACCCAGGCTCCTCTGTTCACTCTTTAGTATTTGTTCATTGCACAGTTAAATGTATTTACCAAGACACCACAGGCATTTGATCATTTTCCTCTCCCTGGCTACTCTCCTTTTATTATGACAATTAAAAAAATTGAGAATAATGTAGCTCATGTCTGCAGCCTGAAGTGGAGAGATTTTTGAATAGATGAAACATTGCATACTCTGTTGAAGTTCCCTTTGACTGTCTCCCCAGTCCCCGTTCCCTCCCTCTCCTAGAGGATTGGGGCTTCATGGCAGTTCCACCAGCTCAGACTAATGTAAGACCTACACCTACCCATTAGCACAGCTTTGGCTAAACTTGAGGCTTCGGTCTCCTGGCAACATGTCTGACGAGGTAGTTTGAGAAATCCCTCGGTAAAAGGTTCGATTACTTGAAAGTACTAGTAATATGCTATGCAGGCAGCTAAGAATGTGCTGATAATATTTGTATAGATTATTATAGAAATGAAACCATCAAAGTAAAATATGCTCCTGATGGCCCTCTCAACCCACGAGTCTTTGCGTACCTATGGGACGGCCGGTCAGTGTTTGGCGCTTGTTTGGCAATGTCTGTTTTACAGTTCAGTAGATGACGATGAGAGTGTTTTTGTGAATTGGGCGATGGTTCATGGAGTCGGTCAGTTTCCCATTCAGCAGTTCAGACACGTTTTGTCGCATGGCATTGATTGTCATCCCCACTCTTGGCATCACTTGCCTTACTCCCATGGTTTGTATTTCCGTTCCAAAGACCATCTCAACTTTGGGTGGTTATTCTCAGGTATGCGTACCTCCCAAGAGTTAGCATTCCCTTTACATACCTGTTGTCGTTCGAAAATCAGAAGCTCAGTAGATTTTAATGTTTAACAATTTATTTTCTGTAATGATTTCTTTTTAAAATGCTGATTTTCTGACATTCCTTAAAAAATAAAATGTTAGCCTATCTCAAATGTCCTGAAGGGATAGATAGGAAAAAAGTACATATCTACTTTGGGTCGAAGTTTGGGAAGCAGAGTTCCTAATAACTTAGGTCCTAGAGTAGAGGAAGGAGCCATGGTGGCGCTGCCAGTTAAGCCTGGTACTGTGAACTACATAATCCAAAGGTCAAACCCTCACCTGCTTCACAGGACAGAGATGAGTCTGTGGCTCTTACAAAATTTTAGAACCTCATCCTCCAAGTACAGGGTCACTATGAGTCAGAATCAAGTGGGTTTAGAATAGGAGAAGAGGTGAAATTAGCATTAGCATAAAAGGACAAACCCAGGCTTGGGAATGTGCTCAACCCGGGGGGAGATTGGCAAATGCTAGTGCTGCAACCTTGTAAGTGTGGCTTTGTTTTCACAAAGGAGGCCGTTCTTTCATGAGTCTTTAAAAATTCATAGTGTTTAATCCTGGAAAGAGCGACGGGCCTACAGGGCTGGGTAGACAGGCTGTATGTACTATTTACAAATAGGCCAGTGCTGTTGGCTTTTCAAATTCATCAGTCAAGTAATCTAGAAAAGCAGTCCTGGAAGGGACTAAATGTGATGATTTTTAAGGATCTACTGCCACCTATTGGACACGATTGTCTGTGTGGAAAGAATGTGCTGTAAAACACTAGAGGAGCGCATGTTGGGGGCAGATACCCGAGCCATCTCAGACACACTGGTTACTCTGCTCACAGGAGGGCAGCAGAGTGCAGGCGGACTTGCTGCTGGGTGATGGTGGTGATGATGGTGGTGGTGGTGGTGGTGGTGGTGGTGGTGTTGGTGTTGGTGATATGGTTTCTCTACTTTCTGACCAGAAGTGGGCAGTGTCGAGGTGGGCACAGAAGCAGCCCATGGGTTTTGTTGCTTAGGTTGGTTGCAGCAGATTTTCCTGTTGTTTACCATTTTATCAGGTCAAGAATTTCCTTTTGGTTTGTTAGCCCTTATTTTGTGTTCTGTATAATGGGCTCCCATAGGCAATACTCTTTCCGTTTTCTTTCATTTGTTCTTGTGTTCATGAGGTATAACCACCAAAAAGGTTCTCAAGAGGGAGATGTCTAAATTGCTAGTCTTTTGTGCTAGGTACAGCTTTCCCTTATCCACCTTTCCCTGTTTGCAGGGTAAGATTATTTCCTTGTTTTTCCCAGAACTGCGAATCTGCTTATTCTCTTCACTGAAAAATGGTGACTCTAATTGTGACCAACTCTATGTTGTTTGGTCTGCCAAAAAAGAGAAAAAGAGAAGAGACTGTCCAGTAGCTTTTTGCGGGTGAATTTCATTGCTGTCCTAGCACCCTGACTTATTTTCTCTCTCCTTCCAGCTTGGATGGCACTGCACGTCATCTCTGACCCCCAAGTCACACAGTGGCCTCTTCTCTGCTCCCAGGGTCTCTGCAGCCACCCTTATCCACAGTGCTAGCAGACCATCCACTCACTCTCCTGTCTCCCAGGGGACTCTTAATGTTCTCTGCTGTCAGGGACCCCAAGGCTTAGCACGGGGCTAACAGTCACAGGGCATGCTTGTTGAATGGGAATATGAATGAATACACTAGGTTCGGTTGCAAGAA